GCTCCTCCAGCCACTGGAGCGATGTCAGGCAGGAACCGGCCCCGCAGCTCCTCATCCTGCTCCTCATCACCCGACAGCCCAGCCTCGGAGGTGTCCTGCCACCGGGGAGCCAGGCTGGGCGGAGGTGCGGAGGGACCGGGCATATCTGGCTCGGGGCAGCACCACCTCCCAGTGCCTCCCTCCTGTGTCTGCAGGGGATGGGTGGTGGGTGCAAGGGGAGCAAAGCATCCCCGCAGAGTCCTGCCTGTAAGAAATGCCCCCCAGGAGAGTAACCCGTCCCTGCTCCACGCTGTGTCCGCTGTCTGCAGCCCCTGCCCAGTCCTTTGGGATCTTCCCTCTGGCTCTAGAGCTGCTCCTCCGGGCCCAGGCAGCTCCTTGGGGAAGCCAGCACATTCCCTGGGGCTGCACCGCCAGCCTCCTTGGCAAGGGCCTGTGGCCAAGCACTGGTGACAACTGAGCCCCATGCTGCTCGGGGAGCTGGGGGGAGGCGAGGCCTGTGCTTGTGGCTGGGCAGGAGCAGGGTGGGATGGGGGATTCTGTGCCCGCGGGGGCTGCCATTCCTGCAGGTATGCCGTGCCTGTGGAGATCCGGTGACCCCCAGGGCTGCCGTGCCCAGGGCAGGGCCGTGCCCACAGGGGGTTGTGCTCATCCAGAGGCCCTGCTCACTGAGCGGCTGGGCCCACGTGGATGCCATGCAGCAGTCACTGCTTCCACCTCCTCAGAAACTACACCTGCCTTATACAATCCATTTATTTCTAGAAATATAGCATAAAAAAGAGATCCAGGGCCCAGCTGAGGCCTGTGAAGCACAGCTCCAGCCCCTGGTGCCCACAGACCTCTGTGCGAGGCAGCCGGGGCACCCCAGCCCGGCTCCTCCCTCCCCTTCGCCCGCGCGGGAGGTTCCCACACCCAGCTTCCCTGGAGAGCAGCACCTGGCCAAGGGAGGAGGAGCTAGGAGCAAGGGGTCCCCGACTGCTCTTCCTGCCCCAGCAGAGGAGCAGCAGCCCCCCCCCCTCACTGCCAGAGCTGGGCCTTGGTGCGCAGCAGCCACTCGATGGTCTCCAGCAGGTAGGCCATGCCGTAGTGCTGGGCGATGCTCTGGAAGATGTTGACGTGGTCCAGGAAGGTCTGGGGAGAAGGGAGCAGGGAGGGAAGGAGGCTGCCCAGCACCCCTGGGCAGTGGGCGGGCAGGGCTGGCAGGGCAGAGGGCACCACACAGCAGATCCCAGGGGACAAGCAGGCGGAGAAGAGGCAGAGGAGGAACAGGGCATCCATGGCAGGGCTCCTTGCTGTCCATCTAGGAGCTCCTGGCATGGGGCTAAGTGAGGTAGGAGGGTGCAGGTGTACCTGGGAGGAGATGGTGAGGGCAAAGTCTCCAGCACAGCTGCAGTACACAGGCATGTGCTTCTCCTTCACACCATGACATTTCTTGCACACCTACAGGCCAAGGAGTTTTAGGTTGGTCAGGAGATGGGGCCAAGCCCCTCTGCCAGGGGCAGAGGGGATGTGTCTGGCCTCAGGCAGGGCAGGTGTGCCCCGCACTCACCAGGTCCTGCAGCACAAAGGCCATCAGCTTCTTCTGCAGGGCTTCCACCAGCGCTGCTTCGATGGCATCCGAGTCATACTGTGCCTGGCAGTTGGAGCAGACCCATCTGGGCAGCACTGACCCGTCCTAGGGCAAAGAGGAGGGTGAGCACTGAGAGTGACCCACACACTGGGACAGTCCAACGGGTCTGTGGAGAGGACAGAGCAGCAGGCAAAGCCAAGGGATGCTCAGAGCAGTCCCGAGCAGCTAGAAAAGGAGATGAACAGAAAAGGGTCTGTAGGTGAGGCCGATCCCTGGCAGTAAGCAGAGCTGCAAAGCAAAGGGGTTGAGGGAGGCGGGTAAGCAGAGTTGTTTAGGTTGGCAAAGACCTTTAAGCTCATTGAGTCCAACCATAACATTTAGCCCACATTTAGTGACATCACTGACTGGCCTCCAGCAGTGCCAGGCTGGAGCCTCTGGTGTCTCCAGGACAGATGTTGCACCTGGGAGATGGCAGGGTCCTTGCACAGGTCCAGGTCCCTGCAGAAGTTGCAGTGTCTGCAGATGACTTCAGGCAGAACGTAGGAGCGGCAGGGGTCCCGAAACTGGGCTGCTTCCGAGAACTCGCCCACCTCGATGAGCCGCAGCAGGTCCCGGCGCAACTTGTTCACCTGGTTGGTTATGTTGGAGTCCAGCGAGAGGACCTACAGGAACAGCAGCCAGGTGAGCCCACCGTTATAGAAAGGTGTCCTCACCAGGAGCACTCTCCTCCTCGTGACCTCACAGGGATGCAGGGCAAGACCAACTTATTGCATGTCACTCCTGTGAGGAAAGCTGTGGCAATAATGAGCCATGGAGGACCATAATTTGAACCACAGACCTTCAGGAAATGGGCCTGGCCCACCCCACGGACCTTGCAAACATATTTGATGAACTCCAGAGCCGGGTTGTTGAGTGGCAAGTAGGAGCCAGGCAGCACTGGGAACATGTCTGAAGGCTCAGCAGCATTACGAGAACCAGCCATCTTCTTCTGGATCTTCTGGGTGATGGTGAAGAAGCTCTGTGTGAGCTCATTGGCCACATAATCCTGTGAGAAGGTGATCATGCCTAGAGAGACAGAGCAGAAAGTACTTAAGCTGTATGGTGGCATATGGGGACAGCAGGGCAGGTGGCTCTCCACCTGCACCAGGGCTGCCTCGGGGCTGGGCACTCACCGGGCATGGCCGTGTCCCCCAGGGCCTCCTGGGACACCTGGCTGGTGCTCCTTCTCTTCACGGGGGTGCTGCCGGGGGCGTTGCGCCGCAGCTCCTCCTTCATGCTGTGGTACACGGCCACGATGTAGGCTGGGGAGACATGGGCAAGCCTCCAGCTCCAGCCTGCCGTGGCAGCCGCCCTGCTGCAGGCTCTCCCTGGCACCGAGGTGACACAAGTGACCTCGTCCCCTGCCTGGGCAGCTCACCTGACACGATCATCAGGAAGTAGCTCTGGCACGAGGCAGCCTGGGGCAGGAACTGTGCAATGTTCCAATTGTTCTCCAGCAGCTCCTCCACATTTGGTTCCCCTTCCTCCTCCTCCTCCCCTGCCGCTGCCTCCTCCTCTTCCTCGCTGTCCTCCTCCAACACTTTCCTCTTGCCAGTGTCCTTCTGGAGGAGCCAGGAATACCACAGTGGCTCTTCAAGCCCAGCCAACGCCTCCCTGCTCAACTCAACCCCCAGCACCTTGTTTCTGGGGGACCGAATGCTCCCTGTCTCTTACCTCCCCATAGTGGATGCGAGAATCCACTTTTCCCTTGATACCTCCGTAATTTGCTGGATCCATCCAGAGCAGGAACTCCCAGCAGCGCGAGAAGGAGATGGTCAGAGAGTGGAAGATCTCCTTGGAGTGGATGCTGGAGGGAAGAGACTGAAGTCACTCACAGCATTGGCATCATCCCCAGTTCACAGCCTTCTCCGTGGGGTGTGGCAGGAGGAGGTGGTGCTGGCAAGGGGAGAGCGAGTTCCCCTCTCCCCCAGCCCCTGGTGGGGACCCCAGAGGAAGCCGTGCCTCAGCAGCGCCAGCTCCCTGTGCTTGTGCTGAGCTGCCTGTACCACAGCTGGGATGCTGAGGGCCAGCCCGTGGGTGAGGTGCTGAGCACCTCAAGTTCTCCTGCAGGTCTCTTCTGGATTGAATCCTATGAGAATTCTTGGAATACTACTGCTAGAGGACAGCTGAGGGACAGATCCCTACCCCAGGGGAACTGGGAAGCCTTGGTTTGGTCTTTTTTTGGCAAAGCTACTGAGGGGACTACAACAAAAAAACCCACAGTGCTGAGGCACATCAAAAGACAAATCAATCAATAAATCAGCATCCTTCTCCCCGGCCCCAGGCCCTGCCTGGGCTTGGCTGTCTGGAAGCCTCCTCTGGCAGGGGGCTCGGGGGGCAGCCTCACCTGCTGACGATGTACTCCATGTAGCTGAGGGCGTCCTCCAGGCGCCGCTTCTTGGTGCAGAGGATGATGCGGTTGAAGTTGGCATAAACCACCGAGGAGCCCAGACGCCTGAACTCGGCCACCAGCCTGCAGTCAGGGCACAGAGGGGGGAGTCAGCAGATGGCAAAGCCCAAGGACCAGATGCAACCTGTGGAGGACAAGCTGATCCAGCACAGTCAGGAGTCAAGCGTGTTGGTGATGCCAAGTAACAAGAATCATAGAATCCTTTAGGTTGGAAGAGACCTTTAAGATCATCAAGTCCAACCATCAAGCCAACACTATTGAGTCCTCTGCTAAAACAGAATCAGAATCAGGATGTCAGGGTTGGAAGGGACCACAAGGATTCCCCAGTTCCAACCCCTCTGCCATGAGCAGGGACACCTCCCACTAGATCAGGCTGCCCAGAGCCTCATCCAGCCTGGCCTTAAAGACCTCCAGGGATGGGGCCTCAACCACCTCCCTGGGCAACCCATTCCAGGGTCTCACCATTCTCCTGGGGAAGAACTTCTTCCTCACGGCCAGCCTGAATCTGCCCACTTCCAGCTTTGCCCCATTCCCCCTAGTCCTGTTGTTACCCGATAGCCTAAAAAGTCCCTCCCCCCAGCTTTCTTGTAGGCCCCCTAACAAGCCCTAGGACAAGAGGCAACGGCCTCATGTTGTGCCAAGGGAGGTTTAGGTTGGACATCAGGAAAAATTTCTTCCCCAAATGGGTTGCCCAGGGCTGTGCCAGGCTGCCCAGGGCAGTGGTGAAGTCCCCATCCCTGGAGGGGTTTCAAAGCTGTGGAAATGTGGTGCTGAGGGACATGCTTTAGTGGTGTACTGGCAGTACTGGGTGAACAGTTAGTTAGACTTGATCTGTAAGGTCTCCTCCAACCAAAACGATTTGCTGATTCTATACCATTCCTGGGAGCTCACTCAGCCAGTGCAGAAGGCCCAACCTACTGCCCACCTCTCTGGAGGCTGTGGCAGAGGAGCGGCCGGGTATCAGCAGCATCCCGGTCCCTGGCTCCAGGCCTGTGCCCCCCGGCAGCCCGGCGTGCCCCCGGCCTCACTCACTGCAGGAAGAGCTTCTTCATCATGTTGTGGAGCATGCGGTGCAGAGCCGGGTCGTAGAGCAGGGAGGAGGGCGAGCGCAGCCAGCGGTAGAAGTGGATGACCTGGTTGTCTGCGTAGACGTTGTGATACTGCGTGATCTCCTTCACCCAGCTCACCACCATGCTCTTCAGGATCCTGCCAGAGAGCAGAGACCAGCCATGAGTGACCCCTTCCCCCTTCCAGGCAGGGAGATGGTTTTGGATATGCTGCAGGATTCAGAGCAGGAACTCTGCCAGAGCAGAGCTGTGTGAGCCCTGGCACATGGGCCACAGGGCAAATCTAATCTGGTGGGTCACAAAGGAAGGAGGAATAAGAGAAGGCAAAGTCTTCACCAGCATCCTCACACATCCGTTGGCTGAGCCACCAGGCAGTTCTGAGTTCAGGATCTTCAAAAGTCTGCTGGAGAAGATGCCTGCCCTGCCCTCAAGACCCGAGTTCATCATTTAGAACATCCCACAAGCCCCATTGCTGGTACAAGTCTAGGAAAGGCTAAAGCCATGAGGGAACGAGAGGCAGGACCCTTGACGGGACCTGCCAGGATGGAGACCAGATGTTCCACCTCCTGATGGCTCCTAAAGGCCATACCTGAAAGTGTTGGAGCAGAGGGCAGTTTCATCATAGCTGGCTGGGATGTTGGCAGCTTGGTTCCCTGTCACCATGTCTTCTAAAGATGCCTGCTGAATCACATCAAAGCTGATGCTCATGCTGGAGCCTCCTTCCATGTCGTTTATGTGGTGGGACTGCAACACCGTGTTCACAGCCAGGCTTTGGATGTCCAGCTCCAGGCACACTGGCAGCAAACACAACCCTCAGTGGGCAGGCAGGGCGAAGGCCCGATGGGGACACCCTCCCTGCCCCTCTGCCAGGCGCTTCTCACAGCCACAAAGGTGATCTGGAGATGTTGCCACACTCAGTGGGGAGATACTTTCACATCTGTGACTGTCTGGACTGGCATTTGTCATCCAACAAGACCTGGACCTACTAACCCTGTGGGGACCACCATTTGTTTTCTGGAAGCTGCAGCAGAGGAGCTCAGAAAAACTGACTATCACTCAGGCTGCTTCTGCCTCTGAGAGAGATCTGTCTTAGGGCCACCAGGGATGGGCAGATGAACTACTCTGTCCTTGGGCTGACCCACCGTAGGTGGTCTTCTGAGCGCTGCTCTTAGTAGCCAAGAATCTGCATTCAATGCCCGCCTGCATTGCAGGTGAGTCTTCCCTGCCCCGGGACATGCCCCTTGCCCACACTGCTGCCAAAATGTCAAAGCTGCTGGTGACTACTGTTGACACAGAGAATATCTGGAGGCCACATCTATCCCTCCAGAGGGTGTGCAGAGCAGCACCCAGCTCTGCCCCCACTCAGCACTACCCCTGTGCCCCCTCACCCGTGGAGTAGCAGCCGGGGTTGTTGATCTCCACGGAGGCCCTCTCGTCGAACTCCATGACCAGGCGGTTGTCGTCGGCCTCCTTGCCCCCCAGGTCCGGGCGGGCAGTGGGCGAGAGCCACAGCAAGTGGTTGTGGCGCCGGAGGTGGCGCGAGAAGAACAGGTCAGAGCCGAAGGTGGAGATGTCGTCGGGGAGGTTCCCAACGGGGATGTGGTAGTACCTGGGGCACGGCGAGGTGGACGGTCACGGGGGTGACGGCTGCAGGAATGGGCACCCCTGCCTGTCCCCTCATCGGGGCATGAGGTGGCCTCCCACGGTCCCACCAAGGTTCCCACCCAGGGGAACGTGGCAGCCCCAGGCACCTGCTCATCTCGAAGGCCTGGGAGAGGCAGGTGTCCAGGTTGAGGTAGTGGCGGATCATGCGGCGGGCGGCGTGGCGCTGCCAGTCCAGGACCGAGTAGCTGATGTCATCGACTACCCGGATGGGCACCAAGGGGAACTCCTCAAGGATGGGGATCCCACTGACCAGCCGCTTCAGCTCCCAGTTCGACTGCACGGCGACCAGCGTGGGGCCCCGGCGCTCGTCCTGCACAAAGAAGAGGCCATGTCCTGGGGCAGCTCCCCAGTGAGTGCCTCTGCCAGCAGGCACCTGCCAGTGCCAGGTGCCCCATGACCACAGCAGGTCCCCGCTGTGGGGACAGCACACCCCAGCACTCCTGAAGCACCCACCTCCATGCAACCAGCTCTGCAGCTGAGCACAGGGATGGGGGGTGACCCTGAGGTGGCCCTGCTGCTGGCACTGTCCTAGGCAAGCCACCTCAAGTAAGACCAAGCCCTTGAGCACACCCACTTCTACCCTCGATCTCCAGGCCACCAGCTGTGTGCAGGTGCTGCTGGAAATGGCACACCAGCGCCTTCCACAGCATCCTCCCCTCCTTACGTGCATGCATGGAGAAGGTCAGAGGACCCTCCTCGCCCTTCATCTCACCTTGTAGCCCAGCAGCAGCCGCTGGACGGCTCTGTAGACAGCCTTGGGGTCCGTCTCGGCACGCACCTCGAAGGTGTGCCCGTCGGGGGGCAGCAGCTCCTCGCCAGCCCTGCCCAGCAGGGCACTGCGCTCCGCCGCGAACAGGCTGGTGAGATTTGGCATCTGGTTGCTGCGTACCTGCGCCCGTGGGGAGAGGGTCAGAGCCCAGGGAGCAGGTTGCTCAGAGCCCTTTCCAGCCTGACCTGGAATGGTCCCAGGGATGGGGCATCGACCACCTCTCTAGGGAACCTGAGCCAGAATCTCACCATCTGCACTGTAAACAATTTCTTCCTTCTCTCTAATGTAAATCTCCCTCTTAGTTTAAAACCATCACCCCTTGTCCTGTCCCAACAGACCGTGCTCAAAAGTCCATCCCCAGCTTTCTGACAGGCCCCTGGCAGTCCTGGCAGCCCCCAGCAGGTCTCCCCAGCTGGAGCCTTCTCCTCTGTGGCTGCCCCAGCCCAACTCTCTCCTGCTGGGCTCCCAGCAGAGGGGTTCCCCCCTCGGGGCATTGCTGGGGCTCCTCTGGCCCTGCTCCAGCAGGTCCCTGGCTCTGCTGTGCTGAGGACTCCAGAGCTGCCCCAGCACTGCAGGGGGGTCTCCCCAGAGCTGGCAGAGGGGCAGGATCCCCTCCCTGCCCTGCTGCCCATGCTGCTGGGGGTAAGCCCAGGCTGGGGGCGGTCCTGGGCTGTGAATGCCCGGGGCCAGCTCCTGGCCAGCTCCTCCCCCCCAGCACCCCCAATTCCCAAGGCGTGCAGGGTCCCACCTCACCTTGTCCAGCACGAAGACAGCAGCTTTGCGCTGGGAGGGGACGAAGAGGCCCAGGAGTGCCCTGCTGCCCTGGGAGCTGTGGTAGAGGTAGATGTGGCGAATACTTCCTAGGGACACGAAGCATAGGGCATCAGCGTGGTACCCACAGGCACCAGGCCCCAGCTGCCCACGAGCCCTTCTCCCAGGGTGCCTCACCTGGCTCCAGGTAAGTGAACTGGGCCAGGGAGCGCATCTCCAGGTGCTCAATGTCAAAGGTTTCGGCCTCGTGCCCTGCCAAGTGCCTGACAAGCGGCCTGCTGACCATGCACACACAGCCCAGGTGGATCAGGGCACGGAGGAGGAGCGGCACCTGCAATGGTGGGGAGGGACGTGCTGGAACAATATTCCACCACCAAGCTCCTCTCAAGGGCTTCGGACCTGCAACAGCCCAGCTTAAAAGCCACAGGTAGGACATGCCCGAGATGCCTCTGGCATGAGTTTGGTATTATCACCCTTGCCAGTGCTGGAGATACAGAACAAGTATCTTCATTCTTAATTCATGTGTTCCTCTCTAGACCCACTCCTCACCATCAAGGGCAGCAGCAGGTCCTTTGGAGGGCTATATCCGGGCTATGCTGAAGCTCTGCAGCTTGTGGTTCAGCACTCCCTTGAGACAAAGGCTCCATCTGAACCACCAGACAGTCGGCACCGTTGGACACCCACCACCGATGCACCCCGTTTGATTAACCCTACAGCTGTACTCTCCACCACTGCAGAAGACTCCTCCTGACCAACTTGCTGTGGGATCTAGTCCCAAAACAGTGAGAAGCAATAAAGATTTTGTGCCTAGTCACCCTTCCCTCATGCCAATTGTGATTTTATAGACCCCTAGTACATCCCATTTTCAGATCCCTTCATCAAGCCAAAGAATTCCCATGTCCCTATGTCCCACCTCTGCAAGGAAGCCCTTCCCTCCTTTGCATCCTTCTCATCATTCTCCTGTGTTAGTCCTGCTACATTTTTGGAAACTGTGCTCAGAATGGCACTACAGATGTTTAAAGGCCAAGCATCTTTCCTTCCTCAGGACCATGTCCAGCTGGGTTCTCTCCGAGGATGGAAACTCCACAACCCCCTGGACAACCTGCTCAACCACCCTTGCAGAAGTTTTTTTTCTGATGTTTACACAGAATTTTCCATGTTTCAGCTCGTGCCTGCTGCCTCCTGTTCTCTCCCTGAGCACCACAGGGAAGGGCCTGGCTCCTCTCCTTTACTCCCCCCATGAAGAACCACCCAGGGAGGTGCTGGAGTCCCCATCCCTGGAGGGCTTCAAAAAACGTGTAGACGTGGCACTTCGGGACATGGTTGAGTGGTCATGGTGGTGCTGGGCTGGCTGTTGGACCCGATGATCTGAGGTCTTTCCCAACCTTAATGACTCTAAGGATGTCTCCTGAGCCTCTTCTCCCAGCTGGAGTCCCAGCTCACTCAGCCTCCCTTTACACAACAGACACTGCAACCCCTTGATCATCTCACCTCCTTTTACAACTTTAAATCATCTCTATGCCCCTTGTATTCCTTCTGCTGCTCATTTTATATCCCTCTTAGCTAGCTGCTCCTTGATTTTACCCAGTCCCACTCCAACACCACAGCTAAACACTACAGCAGTGGAGAGAACTCAGGTTTGCAGTGGGAGAGCTACAGAAATTACACGTTTGTGTGTGTGCTGGGCACACTGGCCGAGTCATCTGAAAGAAGTTTTGGGTGCTGCTTAATAAGAGTTGTACCCTGCCTTGTGGGACCTTCATCCAAATTTCATAAAAGCAGAAATTGAAGGTGACTAAAATGGTTTCTTTCACCACTGCAACCCTCTCCAGGTTACACCAGAACTTCAGCAGCTGGAGTCTCCCAACTTCCTGATGCTCCTGTCACCCTTGCAGCCTCTTGCATCTCACAAAGCGTTTTGTAGCTAATGGCACCACTGCTCACACCAAGCTTCTCCTCCTTAGGCAAAAACTTTTGACCCCTAATAATTCTATGTTGCATTTTAGTAGCAAATTCCTTTGGCTTTACGCTTATTTAACCTATAGCCCCACTCTTGCAATGGTGCAACCCGCTCTGCCACTTCCATACAGGTTAGGCCCTGACACTACAGTGTCTCCTTGGCTAAATTCCTGTCACCACGTTTTGAGCTGCTGAACAAACCAGAGTCCTCAGAAGCAGGCATCCCAATTTGCTGTCTGCATTTTCAGGCACTAACAGAACCAGTAAATTTAATTTTGGCTTGATTGCTTTGTACTGACCTTCGTTTAGGTTGTTGTTGTTGTTCTTCCTGAACTTTCCAGTTGTATCCCAGGCTTCTTTCTAAAGCTTTCTAGCATCATTTTGGAGGACAGGGCACCCAGATGTATGAGGTATGTACACAAGTGTTGAGTTTTCCCCCATCTGCACTCTAAATACCCTTTAACTTTCCTGGTTCAAAGACCAGCAGGCTTGCTCTGGTTTGGTTTAGAGGACGGTCACCCTTTCTGCTCAAATGCCTGCCTTCCCCAAAGCTTCCCAGCTCCAAATAAACCAACCCCCCTCTTCTTGACAACACCTTAAACCACACGCTCGGTATCTCTGCCCTTATGAAGGAGTAAATTCCCCAGTACTCTGCTGTGCAGGGTCTTGGATTTTTGGTCTCCCACCAAGCTGTTGAATTTTTAAGGGCCTCCTGTTCTCCTGTGTCAAACTGATAGGTTCCCACTCAGCAACCCCCCAGGACAGGCCCCCGGGCAGTACCTGGGTCTCATACACCCCCTCGATGTCGGGGGCAGCGAGGTCCGCGTTGATTTCGTTGATGTGCTCCTGGTACAGCTCCTCGGGCACAGAGTACTCGTACAGGTTGTAGACCAGGTTGGAGCGGGGCAGGATCCTGTTCACCTGCCGAGGCAAGGGGCACGTCACACCCCGCGGCACCCCTGCCAGCTCTGGCACTTCCAAGGGCTGCAGAGAGCCGGGGGCTGAGCCAGCCCCGCTCCCGCTGCTCCTCTCCCCTGTGGAAAGCACTGCTCATGCACAGCACAAACTCCTGCCACGCAGAACCTGCCTTCTGGGCAGGCTGGGACCAGCTGAGGGACCGGGGGCTGGGTGAGGGACATTGTGGAGTGGGAGAGTGAGGCCAAGCAGGGCAGATGGTCGTAGCATCTGCTCGCAGTGGAGGTGAAGCACTGTACCTGGCACAAGCAGCCGTTTCCCCTTCCAGAAGGGGCAGAGCCTCACCTTCCTGTAGGCTACCCCCTCCTCGGGCTTGGGCACGCGCTGGTTGACGTAGAAGAGGCGTGGGACGCTGAGCCGGATGCAGTGCAGGTCGCTGCCAATCACTGCCCACAGCCTGAACAGCCCGGGCTGGCCGCTCTCGGCGATCTGCCGGGCACGGGGTTGGCATCATCAGGGACAGCCAGAACATCACAGTCACAGAATCATTCAGGTTGGAAAAGACCTCTAAGATCATCAAGGCCAACCATCAACCCAACACTGCCATGACCATTAAGCCATGTCCCCAGGTGCCATGTCTACACGCTTTTTGAACACCTCCAGGGCTGAGGATTCCACCATCTCCTTGGGCAGCCTGGGCCAAGGCCTCACCACTCTGCCAGGAAGGAAATTCTTCCTAATATCCCATTGAAACCTCTCATGGGGCAACTAGTCCACTGTCTCTCATCCTATTGCTAGTTACCTGGGAGAAGAGACCAACACCCACCTCACTCCAAGCTCCTCTCAGTGAGTTGCAGAGAGCCAGGTCTCCCCTCAGCCTCCTCCAGGCTAAACAATCCTAGTCCCCTCAGCTGCTCCTCAGAAATCGTGTTCCCCAGACCGCTCCCCAGCTTTGTTGCCCTTCTCTGGACCTGCTCCAGCCCCTCAAGGTCTTTCTGATCCTGTGGCACCCAGACCTGCCCCCAGTGCTCAAGCTGCGGCCTCCCCAGTGCCCAGTCCAGAGGCACAATCACTTCCCTACTCCTGCTGGACACACCATTCTTGATCCCAGCCAGGATGCTCGTGGCCTTCTTGGCCACCTGGGCACACTGCTGCCTCAAAGCTGCAGAGCATTTTGTGGATCTGCAAGGCCTGTTGGTGGCCACAAAGAGAGTAGATAGCTCCAGGAGTCACTCTCAGTGCTAGAGTCCCCATGTCCTACTATGGCACAGCAGGGCACCATGGAGAAAACTCTGGTTAAGGCTGGCAAACCACCTCAAGCTGCCCCCTGATGTCAGCCAAGCCACTCTGATGTCCTGGACAAGCTGTCCCATCTCAGGCTCGTGCTTGCAGAAGGCCTCCTGCAGCTCTACAGGTCTGACCAAGGACCAGAAGGATGAAGCAAGGGACTGGAGCATTTTTCACAAGGAAGATCTGGGAGAGCTGGGACCATCCAGCCTGGAGCAGAGGAAGCTCAGGAGGATCTCACAGATGTATATAAATATCTTAAGGGCAGTGCAGAGAGGACAGAGCCTGGCTTTTCCCATGGGTACCCAGTGGTGAGGCCAGGGGCTGGGGGTTCAAGCTGGAACATGGCAGGTTCCCTCTGCATGTCAGCAAACGCTTTTTTCCCCGTGAGGGTGACTGAGCCCTGGCACAGGCTGCCCAGGGAAATCATGGAGTCTCCCACCTTGGACATATCCCAAAGCTATCTGGACATGGTCCTGGGCAGCCAGCTCCGGGTGGCCCTGCTTGAGCAGGGGGTTGGATGGGATGGAGGACCCCAGGGCTGCTTCCAACCTCCACGGGTGCTCCTGTGGCGCTTAGCCCACCGCCGGGCGCTTCCCGCGGGCTGCCCCACAGCCGTCCCCTGGC